GATATCCCCAAAAGTAAGGTGACCAACTTTTTTACAATGAAAAGGAGGACACAAATAAATTGAAGAAAAAAATATTGTAAATAAAAAGAAACATTTTATTCATTGCAACAATAATACAGACAACTTGCATGTGCAAAGTTTGCCAGCCGGGTGTTTTGGCGCGCTCAGCAGCAATTCTTATTGGCTTTCGAAAGCCAATAAGGGGAGAAGCACAGCTCATGCAAAAGTTGAAAACAAAACACATCAAAAAAAGGTGCCGGAACGCCGTTCTGAGTGTTCTATGAGGGAAAAAAAAAGCCCTGCAGATTAGTCTTCAAATATCGAAAAGGGGGACATAAAGGAGCACACTTTTTGAGGGAGGATAGAACTTACAAAAGGAGGACTGTCCTCCCTAAAGGAGGACGGTTGGTCACCTCACCAAAAGGCTTTTTTTTTTTCCCCTAAAGGCAACTGGACTTTCTTCGTTTTCCTTGAAGACATTTCGCTTCTCATCCAAGAAGAATCTTCAGTTCTCAAAAAAAAAAAAAGCACATTTGGGATAACCATGACCTGGATGACTGAGAATCTTCATAGACCAGCTAAATATGTGAACACCAAAAAGAGAGAGGTTCAAAGAAGCTTTCTTCAGAAGAGGATGGAGAATTTGTTTTCTTGCCGATTTGCAAAGCTGTATCCCTTAAATGCAGGAATAAAAGTACATCTTATAAGAGAAGAGAAATTTGGGGATATTCTAGCAATATCCTAGCAATTTTCAATAAATTGGGCAAGGACTTAATGGACAGTATCCATAACTTTATTTTAAACAGCAGTGTTGTTTTTTACTCTTACTCTTGTTTGATTATGTCTATTGTTTAAGTGCTATTTTTGGCAGTTCAGGGGAATTCCAGTGTTGAAGTTGTTATATATAAATAATATATATACTGATAACAAGCTAATGAGGAAGAGTAAAGAGGAAAAGAAGAGGAAAAGGAGTTAATATAATTTATCTTCAGTGTTAACTACCTGTTAACAAGGAAGTATGAGCAGTGAAAATCAAGTTCCAGCATGGGAAATTCCATTCTCACTTTCATTTTTTCAGGCAGCCAGAAAAGCACAAGACATTCAACTTCCAGTTTCCAGAGTTTCAGTTTTCAGAAGAGAATAATGTTTTGTCATTAAATCTTTCTTTTCCATCCGGTTGATAGCATTTCATAATTTCTAAAAAAAGTAAGAGGACTCAAGCCATCTTAGGCAATCGGAGGAAGTTGTAACAAGTTGCTTTATCACGCATAGTACAAGTATAGAATAAAAACCAAAATAATCAATCGTAAAATCACTGTAGCAGAGGTGCCCTCTAGACTAAAGGGCCCATAACATGTAATAATAATATCAACATTTATAAGCAGTATACTGTATAAGCGATAAAAGATATTTTATTCTTTATTTATATTACGAGGACCCATTTCTCCCAAATGGGACAAGCCTGCCACACTTGTACCAGCAGAAGAGGCCTGCTATGGATCCCATCTGCTAAGGAATTGAAGCAGAGTTACAATAAGAGTTGGAAGGGACCTTGGAGGTCTTCTAGTCCCACCCTCTGCTCAAGTGGGAAACTCTATATATCATTTCAGATAAATGGCTGTCCAATCTCTTCAACTTCCTGAGGCAAGTCGTTCCACTGATTAATTGTTCTCACTGTCAGAAAGTTTCTCCTTAATTCTAGGAAGGTGAGGTCAAGGAGAAGAGCCTTTTCTGCTGTGGCCCCATCTCTGTGGAACATTCTTCCACTGGAGGTGAGAACTGTACCCTTCCTGTTGGCCTTCCAGAAGAATATTAAAACCTGGCTTTGCCAGTTCACCTGGGATCCCAAGAGGGGCACTCACTGCTGGAGGTGGTTGACAGGGGAAGAAGACCTCATCTCTGCCCCATCCATCTCTTAAATCTCTTAGTTGCAGTTTTAGTACAGTTTTTAATAATATTTTAATGTTTTAATATTTTAATTACGTTTTACCTTTTATAACTCGTAAGCCATCCAGAGTCACGCTGTAGGAGAGATGGCATAAACATTTAATAACTAACTAACTAAAATAAATAATAAAATATTCAAAGACTGTGCTGTGTTTATTACTTGCAAAAATTGGAATCATGCAAGCCATGGCATTCCCTTAAAAACTGTGGAAGTGAAAGTTGGATTGTAAAGAGACTGATAGGAAGAGTATTGATACCTTTGGATTTTGATGTTGGAAAAGACCCTTGAGAACACTGGGGACAGCCAAAAAACCCCCAAGTGATGGATCATTTAACAAATCAACTCAGAGTTCCCTCTTGAGGCACAAATGACCATGGTCAAATTATCCTACTACTTTGATTGGAGAGGGGTTAACAGTATGTACATGTGGATATACATATTGTACATCTCTATGGCATTCTAAATTGCTAGTTCCCTTTTGAGAACTTTGTATTGAGAACTTAAGGTAAAACAGCTGAACATGGATTAAGAAATGGTTAACTCGGGGGGGGGGGACACCCAAACCAGCCAAAGAATAAAATGTAATTCACAGAATTTTCTTCCTCAACAATTCTGGTTTCACTTTCAAAATCCAGCTTGGAAACAAAACAAAAAAAAGAAGTAGTAACTATTCCTATTTCTTCAGACAAATAATGAGGTAAGAAAGGAATAGGGGAAAATCCTCTGGTGAAGTAATTGAAAATCAGGGATTTTCCACACTGGTAAACCCAAATTGAGTAAAATATATAACTTCTGCACCCAAATTTTTATCTCTACAGATTTTCTCCTCAGACAAATATTGCAGAAACTGATGCTCCCATGATACATGTGGTGGTTGCCCTGTCACTCTTAGGGAAGCATTAGTATGGGGCAAGTACTGGATATTTGACCATCACTCAAGTTTCAGGATGAAAGGAAATAACTTATATTCTCAATTACGTGAGACAGAATGGATTGGCCTAAGACAGAATTTCCGGCCCATTCTAACTTCAAGATTATCTGGACTTCAGTTCCCAAAATTCCCCAGTCAGTATGGATACCCTTAAATAGATGGGTTATAGATGTGACCCAGTTCATATGGTAGGTCTTACGTTCATAAATGGTTAGTGAGTAGAAGATGGTGGGATGCAATATTACCATAGGATGATAATCAGATTGCAATGAAACCTTTTGGATAGATTCTCAGCAGCTCCAATCAGCATTGGCCTTTGCAAATAAGATTGCATACTAATCTCACTTAGAAGATTTGACTAATTTAGCTTTACAATAAAGAAGAATTAACTCATCTGGTCATAGTTCCTGCCTCGTATGCCTGGCAAGGCTGACACCAAACCTGCAAGATTGAAAATCTGAACTCTCCCGTGGTTTCTTTTATAGCCTGAAAAAACTAGCAAGGGTCCCTTCTAAGCCTCTTATCTTGCCCCACCCACTATCCCGCTGAGGGCTATGAGGTCTCTTATGTGACCATTCCCTAAGCAGCATTTTTTCCCCTCTCTCCCAACATCTTTCCCACATACCATTACATGCCATCCAATCTGACATACAGAAGCCTCGGTTTCAAAGACATAATTTGGGGGGGGGAGAAAGTTTGGTTCTCTCATCGGATCAGATAGAGAAAACACAAAGAGTTGTAGTATTTTTGTTCTTAATCAAGGTAATCATTCACTGGGAAACTAATAAGAGACTGAAAGCTGTCAATTTTATAAGCATCCATTCAGGCTATTCAGACCATGCTTTGCTAATATCATTTTTAATATCGTTTTAAAATTAGAGGGTGAGCTATGCTGAAAAGTATAGCAATGGTATAGCAAAGTACAGCAATTTCCACCCCTTTTGGTGGAAATATCCTTGTCAAATTCCAGAGTGTTAGATTAAAAGGGAATTGCACAAAGGGAAAGATTACTAACAATGGCCCTTCCTAATGTGGATAACAGCTGATGTCCAGGTATGGGAGTTGTATAATAGCCACATTCATCGAATTAATAAATATTCTTATTAAGGGGGACCAGCTACCTGGTGCACCTCAGAATGTTTATATATTACTCAAATTTATATAGTCACTCATATGGATGTTCAGATGATGGAATTTACTGGAATTTATTTATGTATTTTAATTTTAGGAAGGCTCCTAAATCACTCTGGAAGGCTTACGTAATTTCAATATAAATGCTTTTGCTATCCCCCAAAGGCACAACCATGGTCCAAAAAATCAAGGTGCTTTCCACAGTGTTACGATCAAAATTCCATCCCTTCTAAAACAGGCAGATCTTTGATTACATCATCATGGATGCCATCTCGACTTTCTGGATCACACACTCTGCAGATTCCCCTGCATCTATTCCCATGTTTGGGGGGGGGGGCAATCACCACATTTGGGATTCTGAAAATAAGTTTTAGGTGTTTTCACCAACTTGGAAGAGGATGTACAAAGCACCAACTTATCTGAATTTGACCAGTTCCTTGCATGATCTCTGCTTCTTAAATGATCATGACTGTCTCTGGTTACATTTCTCTTTTTGGGATGTGTGTGGGGGGGGTATGTCCAAATAAAGTAGCGGCAGCAGTGAAGCATTTTTGTTTTCTGACGAAGTTTATTGGAACCCCTTGAAGACCATAGAAGTGGTTATGGGAGGCAGGGCTTTACCACTGCTGACTCCCATTTTTAAAATGTAAAAAAAAAAAAAAAAAGAAAATCAGGGAAATCAGAAGCTGGTGTGCACCAAGGAAAGTGTTGCCAGCATATTGATATCTACCGGCACCACATTGGGCACATACTGTCATTTCTCCACTTTTCCTCTGTCACCTTCCTCAGTTTATCCAGAAATACCTCTGCAAAGGAAGGAGTTCTATCAATGAGACAGGTGTCTACAGATACTTGTTTTGAAACTCCTCTCCTATCATATCCCTGCCATCTGTTGACTTAGCCAGCAAAAGAAAGAGTGAATTTATTTATCGCACTAATTAAATAACCTGCTTTTCCAGTCTCACGGACAAACCCGGCCAAAAAGAAAAGGGCGGAGTGTCCGCTTGCCATCTGAAAGTACCAACCTCAGATTCCAACACGTTACATAGGCTTTTAACCGTTTCCTCTTTCTGCTTTTTTCCTCTTGCTCATGAGTTGCTAGATGTGGGCGGGGACAGTACAGGCGTTTGCAGCAGGGTTTAAAAGGAAGCTGCTACAAGAGTGTCCAAACAGTGAAGCCTCCTCTGTGTAAAGCTGCAGTGGCTTCGAAAAGAAGAGCAGAAAGAAAGAAGGGCTAAAAGGAAGAAAAAAAAAAAAGCAAGGAAACAGCAACATCCCTCAGGGGAATTCCAAGGAGGCTACAAGTCAAACAAAACAGCTAAAAGAACTTTTCTTCATCTGCCAGAATCAGCTATTATTAAGTTTTTCTTTGACCAACAGCTGAATTTTCGAAGCAGTCTGAATTTAGGCAGCATCATCTGTGAAATCAATTTGAAAAAAAAAAAAAAAACAAGGGAGCTTCTATTTGCAGAAGGAGAATCAAATTTTTACTGGATTCCCCATCACCACCAAAGAATTGCGTAGCCTTTTTCTGAAGCACAACCATCCACAATGAGCTCTGAGCAACTGGTGAACGATGTGGAGAAAGGGAGCATAGTTGTAATCCAGGAACCCTCCCAGAAAAATAACCACTGGAAGTGTCTCAGCATCTGTTCCTTCTTGCTTCTGATTGGGGCCGTAACCGTGTTTGCCCTCTTGCAACTGGACGCATTTGGATCGTCTGAAAAGGAGGTGAGTAAAACGAGATGGGTAAAGAGTGAATTGCTTGTGGTGAAATGAGGCCGGGTAAACTTTGCAAACAAGCGATCCTTCACTTTAGGATGATGAAAAGTTGGGTTAAAAAAAAATCTCCTAAATAAAGGAAGGAAAAAAACGTCAATAGCTGTATTTCGAGGAGAATGAAAATTGTGGTGATGATGAAGTTGAAGATAATATTGCACATTATATAGCAAATTAGCTTTTTCCCCAGAAGTTCAACGCTTATTTGACAGTTCTAAGAAGAAATAAGGGAAAGCTGATGGTTAACACTGTTGGCTTAAAATATTCCCAATAAAAGGAATTTAAAAGATTAGATAGATGATAGATAGATAGATAGATAGATAGATAGATAGATAGATAGATAGATAGATAGATAGATAGACAGATAGATTGATAGATAGATACATATTACTCTCCCAAAATACTTATTTTATGCAACAAATAGTTGCTGAATCAGTCACTTGTTGAAGGCATGTAGAATTGGCCTGTATGACTAATGCTTGTCAATCTTTCTGGAGACCAAATGGATGATCAGAAATCAATATCCATGGGCATAGTATATTTAATAAAAAATGCCTCTTATTTTCTATGTGCTTACAGGGTTTTTTTCTGTTAATCTTACATTTCAAACATGTTTATTTAGTAGACATTTATAACTGTACTTCTGCCAATTTTTTAATACAATTAATACAATAATTGCATTGATAATAGCAGTGGCATTACTGCATCATCCTTATTAATTTCTTTTTCCCATTTCTTTTCCAGAACTCTAAACTACAGGGAAATTCATTTTCTGGTAAGTATTTCTAAGCAGTGTTATTTTCTTAGGAATTTTTTTCCCAACACACTAGTAATGCTCCATAGATCTATTATTATTACTATCTTATATTCCTTCATTCCTATGCAGTCTTGATATTTACTATAGTGATCGGGAATAACAAGAATTGAGACATAGTCCAAAACCAATATATATATATTGCTAAAAACTTAATGCTTAAATATATAGAATTACCATCTTCCCAATTCTTTAGGGAAGATGATCAAAAGGCAGGAATGTCCCACTGAATTAATTGAAAAGATTCAATTAATTAATTGAAGAGATTCAATTAATTAATTGAAGAGATATAACTCAAGTCTCATAGTATTTGCTTGTCACAGGCAGTTTGACTATATTAATTCTCTACCCACTGATAGAAAATACAATCTAAGTGTTGATCCACTCTAACTATGACAAAAGTGATTGATTTTGATGCATTATCTGACGCTCTCTCTCTTTTTTTTAATTTTACAGAACATCTGCCAGACACAATGAAAGTACAAGCCTTGAAGTCTGGAAAACCAGCTGCCCATGCTATTGGTGAGAAGACATTTTAAATAGCTTGAAAGGGGTTGCTGGAGATGGGCTTCCCATGTACATAACATGTGTGGGCTTTTCTGATTTGATGAAAATAAAACTCTTGGAAAGAAGAAACATTTATGACATTCTGCATAAGAGGCAGCATTTTGAGATAAGAGGCCATTTCAGTAACTATGAATTCCTGCCACACTTGCAATTGACTATGTCCAACAAGAAGCTGTTGGATGAAACACAGACCTTAAGATGAAAGAAAGGGGAGGTTTGTACTAATAATTTAGACTTGCCTTAATTTGGCTATGATTCTCTCCAATCATCTTAGATGGTTTTTTATTATGTAAGTGCTTAAGATGTGAGAGGATGGTCAGTAAAAAGTTATCCAGTGAGCTCCATTTCGCAACTGAGTCTTCCATAGCATAGAATATCTATCATGAAAAGCTTTTGCTTAAGAAAACATTACAAGCCTTGTTGAAGTTGTCCAATGCAGCCTTTCTCCTATAGGAGCAGTGACCAAATTTGGAGATGTCAACCTTATGCACACATTGGCTCAAGTCAGGTTGCCTGAAGGTTTCCCCTATCGGGACCTGGTTTTGTGCTCTTAGGCCTGCCAAGGCATTAAATACATCCCAGTTCCACTAAATCTCATAGCAGTTTTCCCCAGTTTGGCATCCTCCAGATGTTTCATACTACAGCTCCCACAAATTCATGGGCTATCTTAGAATCCACAGGATTGTGAAAGCTGCACTTGAGCATACCTGGAAGGCACCTGAGGGAAATCGTGACTCAGAAACAGATACAGAATAAGGAATTCATTCTTCTTTAAGTTGACCAGTTCCTCTTCTTAATACTGATTCTTTTTTTACTTCACAGCTTCTTCCCATCATTCACCACAACTGAAGTGGACTACAGATGTGCTTCCTTCCATTCTGGAGAATGGCATGCGGCTGGATGAGAATGAAAACTCCCTTATTGTGCCTTCTACTGGATTGTACTTTGTCTATTCTCAGCTTTTGTTCCACAAAGACCACTGCAAAAAGCCTCTTCTGCTCACCCACAACATCACCCTCTGGTCCTCAGAGTTCAGCTTCGAGGTAGAATTGCTAAAATCCATTAAATCTGTCTGTGAAGATGCCTCCAGCGATAAAAAATTGTGGTTTGAATCTATTTATCAAGGGGCTGTCTTCAAGCTGAATAGAGGAGACCGCTTGCTGTCCAAAACAAATCTCCCTGAATTTCTGGACTTCACTCATTCAACCCAGATTTATTTTGGGGTCATTGCTATGTAAGAAAAAAGACTTTATGATAACAACCACATGTTTGTAATTCATGTACTTCATGTATCTTCATGGGGGGGGGGTTCAGCTTATAGAAAGATCCCCAAAACTTATTTGTAGGCAGGCAGTATAAGCATCATTAGTGTGAGTCGCTTTTAAATGGTCTAAACTTTTTATTTATTAATATTTATTTATTGAGCTTCTAATATAATCTTGAAACTTCAAGCCTTTTTTTTTCCCCTGTGTCGGAGATCCTTGCAAAAAGAGACTGCACTTTTACCGGCAATGAATGCATACACGTGGAACAATGTAGTTGTGATTCCCCATTAAGTGGGTTCATGTTGATGAACCTATGTTTGGGGTATTGTAAAAATGCGTGTGTGGCTATCTCTAAGCAGGATTTCCATTCCTTTGACTCCCAATCTAGGTTAAGATTTGAATATTTACATATATATATATACATATATACTATGTATATGTGATATTATTTGATTGTGTTGATTTAACCATGTATATTACATGAATTATCCTGAATTTTGGGTAGTAGATAATACTGGGCTATGGATCCTGGTATTTGTTCCCCAGCCAACAGTACAGTCCCATCCAAGTTTATTTGGAAAGCTCCTAACATTCTCTCTTGGATTGTACTGTTTCAGTCTGATGTCGGAAAGTCTGACATTTTTGGTATTTCATTGGCACCTTACAGGTTTTCTGCAGAAATGCCTTACATTACTGTACAGGGTTGCCATGAAAAAAAAGGTTTTTTTAAAGTATTATAAATATATATATTTTACTAGCACATGGCTTATTTATTTATTTATGTATTTATTTATTTGTCTATTTATTCTGTTCTGAATCTCTGCTCAGCAGAAAGTGAAAACACATTTTGTTAAGATAGAGACATGTACCTTGGCTTGACTCTGTATTGAAAGATCTCTTTGAATGAGGCCAAACAATAAAATGAAATTTTGAAATGGACCGCATCTGCTGAGAGTTGTTCTGTTCGGTTTGATTTTTAATCCTGAGTGATAATAACTTCAGTCTGAAATCCAAGAATACATCTTTAGCATCCAAAGAAATATCATAAGGATAAGGTACAATCAACTAAGTTCTTCTTGAATATTACAGTATTGTAGAGGGATGAACAGATGGACTCAATTTAGCCTCTCCACAATAATAGCTGTCTTCCATTGGCCCTATTGGGTATTCTGTCCCTGTCTTGTTTGCCCCTCCCCATTCCCCAATTGATACTTATACATGCTAGGCAAACACAATTTCTCATTCCAAAATAAAGGTAAAGGTTTCTTCTGTCCAGTCGTGTCCAACTCTAGAAGTTGGTGCTTATCTCCATTTCTTAGCTGAGGGAACCAGCATTGTCTGAGAATGCTTCCATGGTCATGTGACCAGCATGACTGTACGCTGAACGCTGCTACCTTCCCAGTGAAATGGTACCTATTTATCTGCTTGCATTTGCACAGTTTCAAACTGCTAAGTCGGCAGGAGCTGGGGCAAGTAATGGGAGCTTACCCTATCACGCAGGTGCTCGGGTCATAAACCTGGATTGCCAGCTGACAAGATAGACGTTTTTAACGCTGAGCCATCACACTATCAAAATGTTACTAACCTATGCCATTACAATGCACTCCAAGATAACTCATAAATTGAATAAACATGGCTGCAAATTATACTCCCATACAGGTGACCCAAATTAATCCTTGTTGCAATATGACTCCTTCTCCTCTCCAAAATTTCAAAGGTACTAACATAGCTAGTCTGTAATAACAACACAGGACCCTGTAAGACCTTTGAGGCTGCAACTCCAATTTACAAAAGGCTCTCAGATGAGCCCTCAGTGGATTCCAAACCACAATTTCAAGACATGACTCAGAGAAACCAGAATATGATGAAATGTCACCTAGCCAATTCTCTTATCTGCAAAAGGCTGATTGACTCAGTTGAGAGGCTTATTTAATTTTTCAGAGCAGTCCTTTTCTGTGTCTTTCTTTGGCAGGACATCTTTACAGGAAAACTCAACCATTTATAGCAACTTGCTTTCTGCTAGATGACTCTGAATCTCTACAAAAGCATTTCTCAACCTTCATAACTTCAAGATGTACGAAGTTCAACTCCCAGAATTCTCCAACCAGTATGCTGGCTGGAGAATTCTGGAAATCCACAGAAGTTGAAGTTTACAGATGTTGAGAATTCTGGAAGATGAAGTCCACAGCTGTTGAATTCTGGAAGTTGAAGTCCACAACTGTCAAAGTCTACCTTTTCCACCACTCAGGAAAAAGGTGTGAGGAGAAAGTGGAACATCATTGACAGGAGAAACTGGACAGGGTGACCATATCTGAGAATCATATTCTCAGATCCTTAATGGATTCTGATTTCTCCATCCCTTGAATGGGTCTTTCCAGCCTCATTCCAAGGGTTGTGATGCTGAATCTAATGGGATCTATAAAGGGAAGTCTATGTGTGTGTGTGTGTGTGTGTGTGTGTGTGTGTGTGTGTGTGTCTATCTACCTACCTACCTATCTATCTATCTATCTATCTATCTATCTATCTATCTATCATCTATCCATCCATCCATCCATCCATCCATCATATCTCTCTCTCTCTCTCTCTCTCTCTCTCACACACACACACACACACACACACACACACACACACACACACTTATATCCTGCCTTTGATTTAAGAGCTCAAGGTAAAATATAATGTATAGTACTCTCTTATTTTTTATTTCCCTACAAGTATAACACTGTGAGGCAGGTCTGACTAAGACAGTGGCTGACCAATCATCTAGTATCCATCTGTGGCCCAAGAGAGACTACAACCTAGATTTTTACATTCTCAGTCCCTTCACAACCCCATACTGATTCTCAGGCTGGGAGAGAGTGGTTGTCCCAAAATATCTTCTAACACTGAGAGGGAATTCCTGAGACTCATCACTAGACCACTCTCTCTCTTAGACTGAGAGGGAGACCCAAAATCTCCTGAGGAGAACTTCCATGGCCCAAGTGAGACCAGAACTTTTAGACAGCATCTTTATCATTAGACTACATTGACTGTTGAGTTGTAAGAAAGGGAATGGTTCAGTGTTGTCTATGGAGTTTCTACAATTGAGGGAAGAGTAGAATTAGAGTCTCTAGTATACTCTGATTCTGTACACATTGATTTACTTTTCAATGCCTGGACAGGGAGCCTTATATACTGAAATTAAGCTAAGAAGGGGTTCATCAGCATTAATCATATATTGCCAAAGTTTTAGTTTCATAATTAAATAATCAAAGCAGCATGACAAATAACCAGAACAGATTATCATTTAATGATCAGAGTAAGGCCCCAGATGTCACATTCTTTTGAAGCAGCAAAGGGTGTCCTAACTGCAATTTTCCAGGATCAAGAATGGTAGATTGATTGAGTTCTCTTTTACAGATAGTTCTTATGTTATGACCATAACGGAGCCATCCCATCACTGTTGTAATTTGTGACAGTCATAAAATGGGTCAGTCATGTGATCAACTTGATTTTATGACCTGCTTGCAGTGGTCGTTAAACGAATCACTGTGGTTGTTAAAAGAGTCATTAAGAAAACCAATGGTTCACTATGGGCACAGTTTTGCCAAAACCCAGAAGTAAATGCCAGGGTTTGGCAAAACTGTTATAAAATGCAGTTTCGGGACCATGGGACACTACAAATGGCTATAAATGGGGCCTGGATGCTGAGTGCTGGAAGTGAGGTCATGTGATCACAGAGAGGACAACCGTTGGAATTTCAAATCTGTGTTGTAAATATCCCCCCTCCCCCCATAGATCCATTGGAACTAAATGGTCGCTAAGCAATTTATACACCAGAACCATTCCTTTTTAATTTGTCTCTTTTTCTATTTGAGAGCATCATGGGAAAATTATTTGGATTAAATTGCAGATGTCTTCCTCCCCTCCCTTCTTTTTTTTTAAATTATTCTTTTGCAATTTTTTCCACCACATTTCCAATTTTAAAAGCCCACAAACTGATCTGGGCCCTTTGTTGCTGAACATGCTATCGTTTCCTGGATTTTTAGGCTTCATTATTGGCATTTTAAGCACTGATATTAGCCTTTTGAATGTGGCAGTCTAGGCCTCTTTTTAAAAAAAAAAAAAAAACAAAAAACTTCAGGAACACTTTTTTTTTAAATTTCTTCTTAGCCAAGGGCATTCCTTTGGTATGTAAGAACTTGTCATTTCAATGCTAAACAATAGTGTGCCTATTTTAAAGTCCTTGAATACACTTGCAAACTTTAAGAAAGATACAAACCCAGCAAGGTTTTCTATTGTTTAATCGGTGTCTTTTATTGTTTGATCACTTGCCTTTCTGTGGTATCACATATACTGAATGTATGTATTATTCCAGTAGCTCAGAGGCTGCCACAAAGCAGAGGCAATCAAGCTATTCTTCAAAACACCTGAAGGTAGGATAAGAAGCAATGGATGGAAACTAAGGAGAGAAATAACCCAAAACTGAGAAATTTCCTGACAGTGAGGACAATCAACCAGTGGAACGGCTTGCCTTCAGAAGTTGTGGGTACTCCATCATTGGAGTTTTTAAGAAGAAATTGCACAACCATTTGTCTGAAATGGTATAAAGTCTCCTGCTTGAGCAGGGAGTTGGACTAGATCAGCGATGGCAAACCTTTTAGAGACCGAGTGCCCAAACTGTAATCCAAAACCCACTTATGTATCGTCAGGTGCCGGGTGGGCGTGGCCCATTGGGTGGGTGTGGTCCATTGGGTGGGTGTGGCCCATTGGACGGGCATGGATGCGGTGGTAATGGCAGACTGGGTGGAACTAAAAAGTTCAATCAATTCCAACTTTGCGAGATCTTTTTTTTTCCCACAAGAACTTGAAATTGATTGATTGATTGAACCTTTTTTTTTTTTTTTTGCACACGACGGTGGATGCCTAAAGCGAAAAGGTTTCATAAAACCCAGCTGAAGGCCTAGGACTGGGGCGATGGCGCGCGTGCCCACAGAGAGGGCTCTGAGTGCTACCTCTGGCACCCGTGCCATAGGTTCGCCACTACGGGACTAGATGATCTCCAAGGTCCCTTCCAGTTCTGTTATTCTATTCGTTTCTGTACCCTGTAAAAGGACTTGACCCACTGCTTAATAACTGCTTTTTGCTATGTCTGAATTACTTGGTGATTTGTATTTTCTGGTGGGCAAAGAAGCCCCTTTGCAAAAAGGAAAAGTCTCTCTCTCTCTCTCAAATTCAGGCATCAAATCCTTATCAGCTCCAAGCCAAACTCAGGCTGCCCAACTCTGGAGGCAACACTATGAGTTAATCAGTCATGCTATACAGCAGGGGAACTATCCCACCGAGTATTTCCCACCCTGGGGATTTCCATCAAATTCAGTCACTGTTCTGTAACCCCAAAGATTTTCAAAATGGCAAATGATCATTGTCAAGGATTTATTTCCTTTCTTGGGCTGACACTTGCTTTTCTCTAGTTTCCTTGTTTTATTTTTTAAAAAAAGAGTCTCACGATTAAGCAAGTTTCCATTTCCCCCTACAAATGAAATCACAGCAGAAATACAAATATCTCATTTCACTTCTTAGGGAAGAGTCCTTGAGTCAAGAGAGAAGGAGGCAAGCATGAACTGCGCTGCCTTGAGGAGCAAGCCTTAGTCAGCCTCAGTAACAATACTAAGAACCATTTTGTCCTTAACAGTTTTAATGAAGGCCTTATTAAGGAATGTGATTGTAAGGACCCACCCCACTTTGCATCTTAAGAAGACAGAACTCTTGGAATAATTCTTCCAACAGGAATCCTTTATTAAGAGAAAATGGTTGCAGGCATGCTAGACAGGACTTGGGGTTCAAGCTCTCCCATTCAAGGTTTTAAGGGGTTCCCCAGTAGTCCCACCCAATCAACCCCCCTTCCAGTGATAGTTTCAAGTATCACAATTCCATCCCCTTTCTTCTTCCGTCTGGAT